GGGGGGGGGGCGACGTGCTGAAACGGGACGGACGGGTCCCGATAGTCACAAACTATACCAAAGGGGCACGCGTCCGTCGCCTAGATAAGGCGGGCCATATAGCCTTGGCGCGGCACACCTGTGTGTCAGTGCGCCGCCGACTGACAGCGCGCAGCGCGCACTACTATCGCCCGGCCAGAATGTTCGTCTGCCGGTCAGTCAGTCACTCAGTCAGTCATCGCGGCCGCCGGAAGAGAGTGGGCAGCGGACGTTAGCAGCAGCAGCGGCCCCCGCGAGCGCGCGCCCGCCCAGACGGGGCAATAAACAGCCATCGGAGAGAAACAACTTTCGCGCGCGACAAATAGGCTGCGATATAAAGCGATAAAGAAAGCCGCGCAGCAAACGACGGAACTCCGTTAAAACAACCGCGAGGCGGCGGTGGCGGCGGAGCGCTCCCACGCACGCACGCACCGTGTGCACGAACCGCACGAGCAGCCACGCCGCGCCGAGGGCTGAGCAGGAGGGAGCGCCTGGTATGCACGCCTCCCCGCCGAGCACGCGCGCGCCACGGGAGTGCCTACCTCACGGCGCCCCGCCCCACCCCGACCCGTCGTGCCCTAGCTGGCGGCGCGTCTCAATCACAGACACGTAACTCGGCGGCGCACGCCGGCGACTTGCGCCATGACCCCCCCTCCCCCTCTCTCTCTCTCTCCCGCCCCACCCTCTCTCCTTACCCCGATAAGGGAATATCAAGTCATCGCTCTTCATGAGAGATAGCGGCGCGCATAGCGCAGCACACGGTGTCATATGGCGTCCCGGCACGAGCACCGCGCCAGCGCCACAACACCACACTCCCCACACACACACATACCTCAGACTACTCAGTCGAGATAATCAGGTCAAATCTTCAAAAATAAGGGAAGGTGGGGTAGATTGGGACGGATTTTTTCTTTTTGCTGTAGGTCGGAGATCATGCATTGTTGGAATGACCGGTACTGGCTACAATTGTACATTAATATGTGGCCTATCACAGCCTATATCGTCCTGATTTTTTATTTCATGCTCTTTGGCTGTAGAGAGATTTCCCCGAAATGTGTCACCTGTCCCAATGTTCCCGGGCACGGGGCACATTGGGACACCATAAGAATACATAAGATGGGGCACATTGGGACAGTTGACGCGTTTTCCTGTGAAATCTCAGCATACGAACCGCCATGCGGTCTGGAAGCCTAAATAGGCCAGTTATCTACAAGATGAGACAGTTTTTGGATTTTTTTTAGGGGTTACATTGAGCACTTTTGGTGTAATGTCCCAGTGTGCACTTAATTGCCTTTCCTGTGATTTCTTTCTTTTTCTTCGGTATTTTGGGATTCAACTCAAAATCCTTACTTGCAAAATGCGTCGTAAGGAACTACCTACTGACCAGCCACTTGCGCGATTTTCTATCTCATTTCAGTTTGCGTTGAAAATAGCAAAATAAAATAAGAAGGTACCTTACTTTTAACAGATTTTTGAGCTTATCGTATTTTGATATTTTCTGTACATCAGACATGGTGTGCAATCTTCCCAACACTGATACCATCATGAAATATGCAACATTGGCTACGTGTCAATTTTTTTCAGCACTTAAATACTGTTAGAAATATGTGATATTGCTACTGTCCCAATGTACCCCGTGTCCCAATCTACCCCACCTTCCCTTAATAATAGTCGCCTAAATATTTCCAGTTCTGGAGAAGACTGGATGAGTTATTTAGATTTTCGCCTCAGCAATTATTTTATTGTTATGTAATTTTTCTTTTCTTTTTTAAAGTGTTTTTAACTCTTATTTTATTTTGTCAAATCATTTGGTTCAGGTGATACCGACCTGCTTTTCAGTGCTGCTGTCCTTGTCCTGCTCCTCGGTGATCTCGTTGAGGGGCTCGTAGCCCGCCAAGGTGCCGGCGAGAGACGCGAGTCCCGGAGAGAGGCTGAGTCCCACAGTCACGCCCGCCTCCATGCACGCGCACTTGAGCTTGTGCAGCCCGCCGCCAGCCATGCAGCCTGCAACACAACAAAACAGGTCAACACTAGTCAGTCTATGATGATGGCGGGGGAAACATTTCGTGTCTGCTTTTCGGCAGTTTTATGGTTACGGTCCGCTGTACCAAACCCAGCGGAGATCGCCACACCACATACACACACACACTCTCCGCCGGCCCAGAGATTCGCGGCCCTGTCCCGACACAGCGTCACACCACCATAGAGTTCGGGGTGAGTTAGAGTAACGGCGGCCCCCACGGCCGGTCACTGTGTGTGGATGCCGGATGGTCGTACCGATGGCCGAACGACAGGGAAGAGCCATTGGCCGTTTACGACCACAAATCACCATAAAAATAAAAAAAAACGTCGGCGGTGGTGGTGGTGGTGGTGGTGATCCACACACGCAGAGGTAAACAAAGTGGTCTCCGCGGGCTCGAAGTGCGTGCGTCGCAAGGCCGGCCCCACCGGCGCATAATCACACAGCTTACTGCATCGCAGATGGAGCATCCACGTACCGTGTACTATTTACTACTACACGGTGAAAAAAACAAACCACAAAAAAAACAACAAGATAAAACACATGTGCTGAAAAGTAATTGAAACAGGGGGAAAGGGGGCGGGGAGCTATGGCAAATTTTCAAGTATGATTTTTGGTCACACTTTTTTTGACTTAGGGCAGTCGTACCAAAAATATCATTTCGGCCACCACATTACGAGGCAAACAAGACAGCACGGAGCAGTGGGAGCCCCCAGCTCTGCTCGACAAAACTTGGCAGCGCGCAGCGCAGCGGCGCGCGTCAAAACTCCATTTGTTTCTTCCCTGCTCGTTCTCCTACTCCTAAACCTCCCTCTCCCTCTCTTCCGCCTCCCAAAACAACTTGCGCGCGACGAATGCGACAAAATATGTTTCGCAAAGTGTTCGAAGTCGGCCAGCCGCGACACGGCAAAGCGCCGTTATTGTGCAGCACACAGCAGTGCAGCAGGCAGGACGCTCATCCATTCATTCAATGCCATCACTCATTCATTCACTCATTCCAGCAGCAGCAGCAGCATAGTACCGCAGTCACTCTAAGCGTCTCTCTCTCTCACACACATACATGCACACGACACACACACACACGCCAACTCAATAAAGCCCGGACACGCACAGCCAGCACACCGCCACCGCCACACTACTATACGCAGCAGTACTCGTAAACAACTCATCCGTCATTACGACCAAAATTGCGACGCAATCTCGAAAAACACGCGGCTCTCTAGCGGCGGCAGCGCGGCGTCACTCTGACTGTGTGTGTGTGTGTGTGTGTGTGTGTGTGTGTGTGTGTGTGTGTGTGTGTGTGTGTGTGCATGTCCCTGTGTGCGTGAGTGTGTCCCTGTGTGCCGCACCGCATGACGAGCGAGCGAGACACGCGATGTGCAGCGCCGCACCTCTCTCACAGAGGGAGGAGGGAAGTCGAGTTAAATAAACCAGAGTGAGTTAGTTTTCACTTTGCAGCGGCTTGCACTATGAGCGCTGCCGGTGTGGTGCTGCCGGCACTACTTCCCTCTATATGCGGCTACTACATCAAGAGTCCGTGTTGTTGCAAATTGCACTTCCTATAACTATAAAAAAAAGGAGATGCAAATCAGACATCCTTCTTAAACTGCACGGTCGGGCCGTTTAGAAAACAAACTAGAGGAAAATAAAAACGAGATCAGGAGGTATCATTATGTCGTCATTCCAGTCCCGAGCTCTGGTTTCGGTCGTATTTTGTGACGGTAATGAGCAATTACACGTGCCGGAGTATCAAATAAAATGTGTTAGGAGCCCGCAAGGCAAAACAAAACTTTCCAAAGAATCATTTTTTTTAAAGGAGAAAGTTGCTCGGGAAGTTGTATGTACGATTTAACAAAAGCTGAATTAGAATCCAAAACGGTTACCGTCGAAGAAGTGTCTTTTACTTTTGCATAGTTCCTTCCCGTTCCTTCCTCACTCCCCCCAAAACCCTCACAAAGCTTCACGCGTGACGTTGCAAACCAGGGTGTCTGTTTACTTTTTCAGTTGTTTTTTTTAACATTACTTTTATGAGCGAGCGAGGGAGAGGGAAAAGAGAGCGAAAAAGCTGCTGTGTCCGTGAGAGAGTGAGTGTCCTGAGGTCGGGGTCACCGTCTGGTCCAGGCCGACAGTCCGCCCGAAATAAACCTCATAACGCAAACAGGACCGCATCGGCAATGTGTCCTCCGACAACAACACACATCATATGCGTCTCTCAAGCCGGCAAAAAAAAGTATGCGGAAAAAAAATACGTCAAGCTTTTCCCTTTCATTTTTTTTTCTTTTCGCACAAACCGGAAGTGAGCGAGGGCCGTTAAGGCACATACGAGGGGAGGAAGGGGTCTCTGCAAATATCGGACCTAAAGGAAGTGGGAAGTGGCCAGATTCGGTTAGAGGTCGGAGGAGGGGGTGAGGAGGGGAAGGGGCGTCCCCTGCAGGGTGGGGACAGGCCTGGCGTGGGCGGGCGGGCCCGCGGCGGGTCGGGCGGAGGGATAACGGAAGGCAAAAGGAGGATTTACGGG